TGATAAAACACACATTACATAAAATTTACCATCCTAACCAATATGAATGTACATTTACCGGTATTAAATACATTTATAATGTTGTGCAAGGCTCACTACCACCTATCTTCATAAATTTCCTTCTTCAAAATTGAAATTCTATACCGATTAAACAACAATTCCCTATCTCATCCACCCCCAACACACACCACTGATCCATAACAAATATCGTTTCACTTTCTGTCTCTATAATTTTGACAAAGTACATAATATTGGGTTGTCAGAAAAGTCATGACATGTTTTGTCTGTGTTTTTCAAAGGCCATTTATTTATATAAAGAACAAAGATCAATCAATGATATATTGCCCGTTTTATTTGATTACCTTTTGCCGTCTTTCAATGAGCTTCATAATTCCTCGTTCATAGAAGGACCTGTCTTTATTTGTGAAAAACTGAACAAGGTGCTGATTTACAGCCTCATCTGAATTGAACTTTATACCACAAAAGGAGTTTTGAAGAGAGCGAAACAAGTGGAAGTCTGACGGTGCAAGGTCAGGTGAGTATGGTGGTGTGGCAACACATCCCATCCAAGCTCCAAAAATGTTTGATGGGTGATCAGACTTGTGTGTGGTCTCGCATTGTCGTGATGGAACACAACTCCTTTACAATTAAGCTCTGGACGTTTCTGGATGATGGATTTGTTCAAACTGTCCAATTGCCGACACTGCACATTCGAATTGATCGTTTGGTTTCTTGGTAGGATCTTGAAAAGCAGGACACCTTTAAAATCCCACCACACTGAGAGCATAACCTTCCTCTGATGAATGTCTGCTTTCAATGTCGCTTGAGGCAAATCATCACATCAGGACCAAGACCGTTTGTGCGCCACATTGTTGTAAACAATCCACTTCTCATCACCAGTTATCAGCCACTTCAAAAAAGGATCTTTTTCCTCACATTTAATGAACAGATTGCAGATGTTTATACGTGCTGTCAACGTCAAATGAACTTCTTTGAATTCATGCGGAACCCGAATATGGAGCTTGCTTCCATATCCCAGCTTCTTCAGGTGGTCGTGAACACTTGAATGATGGATGTTCAGTGTTTCTGCAATCTCTCGTGTCATGTAATGTGGGTTTGACTCAATCAATGCCTTTATTTTGTCATCATCAACCTCGGTTGGCCTCCCTGACTGAGGAGCGTCATTGAGATCAAAATCACCAGCATGGAAGTTCATGAACCATCGTTGGCACTGAAGTTTTTGTAGACCATTGTCACCATAAACGTTATGCAACTTTTCATAAGCTTGACGCGTGTTCTTCCCTTTATGGAAGTAAAACAGTAAAATATGGCAAAAATGCACAGGTAGTCTTCCATCTTCATCTTGTTGTAAAATCTCCAAAACTCAACCAAATCGCTCAATTTTTTTTAGAATGAAGCTAGAACTGTCAGCTGTCAAATGACATAGCAATAACATAGATGAGAATGACTTTAGTACTTCCAAAAATGAACTAGTGCCATCGATTGCAAACATGCGTCATGACTTTTCCAACAACCCAGATGGAATCATAGAGTATTTGTCTTTCTGTGATTGATTTATTTCAGTTATAATGTCTTCAAGGTCCGCCTGTGTTGTAGTACAAGGTGTGATAAAAAAAATACAGTGAATGTTTAAATAAAAAATTATTACAGTGAAAGACACATTGCCATTAACCCCATCAAAACACTCCCCCTCACTTTGAACACACTTACAACTGTTGTTGCTCTTTTCCGAAACAGTTCTGGAAGTCCTCTTTCATGAGTGTCTTTACTTCACCCTCTATCATGACAGCACTGTGTCACACATCGCTTCTGGTACAACAGTTTCTGTCAAAGAAAAACATTATCACGTGTCCTCATCCACCTTTTCACCAGATCTGGCACCGTGCGACTTCTGGCTCTTCCCCAAAGTCAAATTATTCAGAGCATCGAGGAAGCCACGACAGCGCAACTAAAGACACTCATGAAATAGGACTTCCAAAACTGCTTCAGAAAGTGGCAAGAACAGTGGGATAAGGGTGTTCGATGTGAGGGGGGAGGTATTTTGAGGGGGACTAATAGTGTGTCATTTACTGTAATAAATTTTTAATTAAATATTCACCCTATTGTTTGATCATACCTCGTATATGTCAGATTTTTTTTTCTTGGTGGTCCAATAATATTGCATTTTATGCATAAAACACATTTGCTTGTCATTGATGGACCTTTAAGCTGCTTCTGTTTTTTAAGTATTGTGATTAATGGTGCTATGGGCTAGATTACAGATAACTCTTTGAGACCTTGCTTGCAATTTACCCTCCATGTCTTCCACTGGAAACTGCAAGCCTTTAATAGGCTCCAGCTTTCCAAGATCGTTACATCAAACACATCCTACCAGTGCAGCTGCTGTCCAGGTGGCAGACAGGTCCCTGGCATTTCCTATTCTGCCAGGGTCCCAAATCCTCCCTTTTGTTAATTTCTAAGTGTCACAATGACTGAAAAATCAGAATAAAGAAAGGTAAACAAGAAAAAAAAAAGGAGTCTTAAGTTTAGAAGTTCTCTGCCAGATGGAGGATCTACATGTGAATTTCTGTGTGTGTGTGTGTGTGTGTATATATATATATATATATATATATATATATATATATATATATATATATATTTAGGCCAAATCTGAATAATTGATGAATGACAAAAGAGTACCTGTTCTGACAGTGGTAGAGGGGGTTTGTTATTCTTATCCTGAATAAATTTGGAGGAATTATTTGTGCTGTTTAAACTGAATGACTTGAATAATCCATGGTCAGTACCCTGTTCTTCATCTTTTGAGAAATAGTTGAAGGAAAGTGGGTAGAGAAGACTGTAAGACACAGAAGACATATGGAATAGTTGGATGACATTGTTGATGAAAGGGAATCAAGCTGTCAAATTAGTGTGGTATTTTGGTGCCTTAAGCAGCCAGTGAGGCAGATTATAACGTGAAGGTGGACCAAAGCCTCCATATAAGTGAGAATTAGGGAGCTACTTCCCTAAACAGCCTCATGTTTCTTGAAACTAAAAACCGAAAACAAATTTACCAGAAAGTATTGACTACTTAACATATACAGAATATAAATCTTTGTAAAGTTATTAAAAGTGGATGTTTCAGATATAGTCAAATCTGAAAATGAAAGTATTTTTCGAAAGTTAAAATAGAGTAGATGTGGGACTTATGAGAAAAAATAAATTTGGATGAAATCATAATTGCAATCCCTTTTAAAATTATTTAATCCAACTCAATAGCAAAATCAGAACCAATGAGGTAATATACATAAAAATAGTAGGTAAAATCTCCCTGAATGTCGTGGTGTCAGAATAGTGAATATTTTAATGCTGTTGTTCTTCAGAATAGTTCTAATATTACTCTTCAAAATGCTGTGCAAATATGTAAATATGCAATATTAATATTCTACTAATCTACTAATCGAACACCTATATCATTAGGAAAGTCAATGTATCTTAAAACTTAAACACTAAGATTTCTCAATTCTTACAGATATTCATCCAGCATGTGCAGATCACTTTATAGAAAATAAAATTATGATGAAGAGTAAATAACTTGTCTGGGTTAGTAACATTAACAGGACGCGTCCGGGAGCATGTGATTCTCCTTTGGGGGGGTGTTTCGATGCGCACAAATACTTTAGAATTTCTATTAAAGAGTTCATTTTCATTATAATTATCTAATGGATTAAAATCTTTATTTCTGTAGTAAAAATTAGTCATACTGTTCTTGCAACTCCATTCATAATAACCAAATGAAAAGCAATACATTTTGATTAGCATGTTATTTTTTCATAATTACGAGAGAAAAAACAAAACAAAACAGTATACAGAAGGTCAAATTTCAATGTACTTAAAATGCAGAGTTAATATCTGAAAAGAAGTCTATCCTATTATAATACTAGTAATTATCATGTTACTTTAGAGACAGCAGGTCAGATCATGCCCCTTGTATCTAAATTCAAAAGGGCAGAAACTTGATTTATTGTGCTTAATTACTAAGATACAGATCAGTTTATCTCCCCACTATCGAGGGCAATAATGCAGCATCAAAGCTGACCTGAGAACTACTGTAGAGATATTTAATTATAATCACACTTGTAAATGCCTGTCTGGTAATGGTGTTTAGTATATGTAAAAAATAAATATATTAGAATAATTAATTTCGGGGCCATCATTTGTCATATTCAATTGAAAACCATAGTATACATTAAATCAAAATGTATGCTGTACTTTGGAATTCAGTTCCTATTATGGATGGCATTGATTTGTTTATTGCAAACAGTGCATTTTAGTAACAGTTTCAACATGTCCAAAATGTGCAGCATATACAGTTTTTGCAATGTAATTAGTTAGAAATTGGGGAAGCTTAATTTTAAAATTGAATTGAATTGTTCCTGAAAATCTATTGCACACCCTCTATGGCTCGAGCAGTTTCTCTTCATAAAATGTTCTATCGTTGTTTAAAGAAATTAAATGCCGTTAATCAGAAAGAACATTAGGGTTTGACACCTAATTCGAAAGCCTTGTCTTGAAGCTGTGAATGATTGCTGAGAGAATCACATATACCGATGAGAACACAAATAGGAAATTCATTTATGTGCCAAGTAGATCTCAGCATTGCTGTAAGTCAGGGTGGCATTGTCTTTTTGTGAGCAACATTTTATAAAAGTGTATATATATTTTTGCTAATACATCTATTGTTTACTCTAGTTTGATAGATTAAAAATAGTAAAGTAGCATTAGGGAGAATTCTCTAATTACTGGATATTACAAGGCAGCTCAGTGATCTTAAAGTCATTTGCGCAGCTAAGTCAGTCCCATTGATGTAAGTATAGATGGTAACTATCACGTTTTAAAGCTTAACATGAACAACAACAAAAAGTAGTTGTAAAGGAGTCCCAGCGGTGTGGGCGACATGTTTGTCATCTCTGTTTCATCTGCATTCATCTATTTTTCAGTGCCTCCAGCAATCACAATGCCGCAGAAATCCTTTAATGCCACTGCCGAGAGAGGAGAGGAGATGACATTGTCCTGCAGGGCCTCGGGCTCGCCTGAGCCTACCATCTCCTGGTACAGGTCGGTTACGCACCCCCATCCCTCTGGCCTGCGTCCATAACCAAGCTCATGGAAAACTATTTGCTCTCCTGTCATTTTGTCAGGAAAGAAAACATGGTTTCTGAATTTTATTTAAGAAGTTATTTTGCTTTTGTTTTCAAGTTGTTGGTTAGATTACCGTATTTCCCCCTTATATAAGATGCACCCTTTTCCAAAATATTCGGGGTCTAAAAACTGGTAGCGTCTTATACAGTGGTTGTAGATCGTTGTCAAGTCATTTAAGAAGTGTGGCATTTCAAAGACCATAGATGGAACTGAAAACGAGGCAATGTATGAAGACAGTGCTTCTTCATCAGACATAGATGAGGACAAGCTAATGGTTGGGAGCTTTGACAGTGATGAGGAGTTGTATGAAATTTATGATGAATAACACTTGAGTTCAATAACTTTATGTAATACATTTTTTTTCAAATTTCGGGCCCCAAAATTAAGGTGTGTCTTATACATGGGGAAATACAGTACGTAGTTAAGCAATCAACAGGGTGACTTAACCCAAGTCACAGGCTGCACCCATAGCCCTGGTCATTCTGTCTACCAGGCATGTTGCTGACCCACAGATTGTAGTCACTTGACCTCACCCACTTGAGAACTCCATCTTCCAACTCAGATACACTGCCTGGCTCTGTTTGGGTTCGCCTTCTCTTCCCTGGAGACTGTCCTCAGGCAGAAGCTAGGATGGTCCTCAGAGGTCACAGCCATGGACTACTCGTTGACCAGTGTTTGTGAACTCTTACTTAATCGTGTGTACAACATTTTTTGTTGTTTGAAATGAGAGGATACATATATCCCTCTTACTCCATTATGATCAAAAGTGGAATTTGTATCACTTCTTTATTATTTCTCCTAATTCTCTAATCCTAACCCCTATTTCCCTGTGCCTGGCAAAGGAGCACTGAGAGAAATGGTTTGAGTTTCAAAGGATGGGCTCATGGAATGCCGTCCGAATCCTTTGGGAGGACTTTTCAGACATAGCATCCCACAGAAATGGACTGTGAATAACAATGTATATTCTATCTACCAGGTTTGTTGGGGACAAAGGTGTTAAGAACCTTTACCTTGTTTGTTATCCTTTAATGATATTTTTCACTGAGGTCTTGAAGGGAACATAATCTTTGCAAACTGATTTCCTCTAAATTTTTCAAGAACCACCCATCGATTTTAAACCTCAAATCATTATTTCTTTATTCCCATGAAAATTCCTAGAGAATGCCGTCCATCTTCATTTTGCTTCTGTTCTACTACAGCAGTTCTCGTCTCACCCCCCAGCCCCGCCCACCAAAACCCCAAAAGTTGCTAACTCATTAATGGGATGTATATTACCCTCTGTTACTGCCAATCGTACCATGAGTTCCTCATGCTAAGTGGCCATGTCTCACTCATTTTCTGTACTTGAGATATTTAGTACATGAGGGAGGGAAATACCCATCTTTATCAGAGAGAGTGCTGTAACTTAGTTAACCTGCCGCTTATATCCATGTGAAACTCTCATTGGTGAGTTGAGGGAGGGGGAAATCATATTTAAAATTTTAGCTGTGACCTGGGAGTGAGGGTAGGGAGGGAAAATGTACATCCATGGGCTAATTGCGAGTATTCAACAAGGTAAATAATATAGGCAAAGTGTTGTATAAACCACAAGTTACTGAAACTTGTAGTATAGCAGTAGTAGTAGTAGTAATATTAATATTAAACAAATGAGTACTTTTCATTGAATAGATTGAGAAATATATTGTATATCCAACTGCAGTGAAAGCTCTATACATTAAATTCTAGACAAAAATGCTAAAATGTTGTCATTTTATATAGTTGTAAATATTGGATTAGTAAAAATATAAATGTACAGAGCACTATAATTACATTTGCTATTAGTAGTTTATAAACCCTAATTTTGCACTCTACCCTTCTTTTGTAATTTTGGTACACTTTATGATATATTTAGAGATGTCGATAGAAACTGAAGAAAACTGATGTTTTTGAGTCATGGAAGGATAACGATTATATTAAGATATATGCCAGTGATTTCTGGAAAGCAAAACCAAAATTCATTGGAAAGATCTTTTAGTGTATCAGAGAAATGTTCTGTTTCAATATAGGAAATATTTTTTTGTAATCCTTTTAGAGATTTTTCTCTTTAAATTTAAACTTGTATGGGCAAGTAAATCTCCTCCACCTCTAAGGACAGAGCCCAAACTTTTTACATTAGTGTGCTTTAAAATCAACTCAACCATCCCAAACACTATGATAAGAAAAATACAGGAGGGATAAAAAGAAGAAAGAAAAGCAGAAAGAGGAAATAAGAATAAAATAGAATGAAAGAGGATATATAATACATGAAGGTTGCACACATATTAAGGGTAATTGTAGAAATTGTTTCAGGTTTAAAGATATTTAAAATATTTTTTACTGGAGTTATTGTTAAAAAAAAGTGTTTTAGTGGATAACAATGAGTAGAATTATGGCAGAATGAACATGGCACAAATTCAGAAAGAACGTGGAAAATTACCAAAGAAAGTGATTTCTTCTCCTCATTAATGAATTAAATCACCATATTTAGCAAAATTTCTCTAACTGCATTTTCACATAATTCTTTCATCTCTTACTTTCATTGGCAGTACTTATTTACAAAACAAGTTAGTTATGTATTTAAAATGCATTTACCTTGAAACTTCTTTAAAGGATGTTTCCATAGATATTCAATTAAACGTATCTCAGCAACCTAGTAAATACATATGTTCGATGATTATGTGTGGACTCACCAACATAAAAAAAATGTATGTGGAATTAAAATTAGCAATCAAACTTTATTTTTTGGCTAATTATCAAAGTACAGATTGAACCAATGTGGGTTTTTAAAATTTTTTTTCCTGACTAGCATCAAGATTTTATCATAACTCAAATATTATTCTTGTCTCTAAAATCAGAACAATTTTCAAGTACAATTTTAATATTTATGCATTAAGTTTTACTGGGCTACTAAAACTATACTTTTGATTGGAGTATATAGCCTTGTCTGTCAATCACAGTAGCCATAAAATGAGTGACAACTACAGATCAAAAGTTACTCAGGGTTTTTTTCCTGAGTAATGAAGTCAGATTTATGAATATCAACCTCTCTTTTCTCCTTTAGGAATGGCAAGCTCATTGAAGAAAATGAAAAGTACACATTGAAAGGAAGTAATACAGAACTCACTGTCAGGAACATAATCAATAGTGATGGGGGCCCTTATGTCTGCAGGGCTACCAATAAGGCAGGAGAAGATGAAAAGCAGGCATTCCTCCAAGTCTTTGGTAAGTATTACATCATCATGGCTAAAACTGCTGACTACAGGGAGGTCGTGTCAAATTCTCTTCTGCCACTTACATGAACTGTTTTACTTTCCAAAATTAAACCTCAGTTTTCTCACTGCTAAAATAGATTTCAAAATTGCAGCTACCAGATAGATTTTAAGAATTACATGAAATTACTCATGTACATTTTTATAAAATATTGGCTGACTCATAACAGAGACTGGTAGAAAGTTAATTTAAATTATACATACTGGGATCATATATATTATGATCTTTAAGTTACACAAGTTGGGATCAGTTTTACTTTCAATATATTTCAAAAGACCACACCTAAAGGCTATAATTAGGAAGTATTCACCTGTAACTGTAATTAAATATTCTCATTTCATTATGTTAAAAGAAAATATACTTTAAATATCTTTCATAATTACCAAAATCCATATCACCTTATTTGGAAACCTTAGGGAGAGTAGGGACCAAGTAAGTTTTTTGTTTTGTTTGTTTTGTTTTGTTTTTGAATTATTGATTAAGCTTCCATTATGTTTTTAAGAATATAAACAATTTTGCTGATGAATATTTGGAATGTGAGTATTCTCTAAAAAGCATAACACTAAAAATTACATGCACTACTAACATTTAGTATATTTTCTTGTTTTTTAAAAACATGGTTATCAAAATGCTTTAACAACAAAGAGAGGGCACAAGAAGGAGCGAAAACTCTGTAGGAGTGAGAAGGACCAATGTTTGCAATTGGCAGATGCAGCAGCCCTGCTGACATGGACCAAACGATGAATGGTAATACATGGCAGGCATGCCCTCTGCCAGCCGGTCCTATGGTCACGTAATAGACATACGTTTCTGAACCAGAGGGATTTTCATAAAGATTTTCATATATTCTACCTGAGTGAGAGAGACAATAATGCATACACCAAAATATATTCAAATAATTAAATGAAACTGGGATAATAAGATGTTTCCAAGAAGAAAGTTAAAATGGGTTAATCAGGTAGTGTTGGGTAAAGAGGGCTATTATTTTGGATGGCCTACTGTTGGAAAGTTACTGAGAAGGGTAATGATTAGATAAAGGTGTCTAAGCAAAAATCTTGAACAATGAGAAATCACCAAAGCTAAGGAAGGGCCAGGAGAAAATTGTTCACATAGAAGGAAGAGTAAACAAACTTAAAATTATTACAAACTGTAGAAAGCCCCTAACTTGTTTCAGCAGTATTCCCATGTAAAAAATGTGGTTCTATTTGAAACCTAAAACATTAAATAAATGTGACTAAGTATAAAAAAAAAACTAACTAATGAAAAATGTTAGTGCCTGAGAAAATTCCCAAGGATAATGTTCTTATTCTACCTCAATGAGCTCATATGAAATACCATTTTTGTTGTTGTTATTTTTCAGGAGGCAGTGAGTGACAACATAAATAAATAAAGTTTCTAATATTTTCACCTTTTCAAATAGAAAACAATGCATGAAATGTTATATGCTATATCACTGTTTCAATCACTTCTGTAAAGTAACACTGAACAAATTTGTATTGTGTTTGATACAAAATCTATGATTTCACTGATATGTGGGATATAAAACTGAAAGCAACAAAGGAACAGGACCAACAAATAAAGAAACAAAAACTCATAGACACAGACAATAGTGGTTACCAGAGGGTAAAGAGGGAGGGGGAATCATAGAAGAGGGTAAAATAAAGGGGATCAAATATATGGTGATGGAAGGAGAACTGACTCTGGGTGCTGAGCACACAATGTGATATATGGATGATGTATTACAGAATTGTACACCTGAAGCCTATGTAACTTTACTAACCATTGTCATCCCAATAAATGTTAATAAAAAAGAAAAAAAGAACAGAGTTCTAACAGTTTTCAATAAAATAAAATAAATCATGTATATATAGTAGAAATATTACTAAGTCCATTAAGTCAGTGGAATAAACACTGCATTTTTAGTAATTCGTGTACTATATTTCTGATATCAGTAATCTAATATTTTAAGATTAAGAACAACCTATTTATATTTCATGATTAATTATACCTATATTTAAAAAAAGCAAAAAAGAAAATAACCTGTTACTTATTCCAAAATAACAGGTGTTGGCTTTTATCTATTTTATGTTCTAACAAGAGAAAATTTAAGAAATGCAGATAATACAGAGTTTATAAACATTACACTCTGTGGTATTATGTAAATTTGTGTATGGGCATAATATTTAATATCAAGATAATTTAAATGTGTGTACATAATATTCTCCCTTTTAAAAAAGTCATAATTTTAAAGAAATACTTAGCTACAATTCCCAATAATATTTAAGATAAACTGAGATCAAAATAAATCAATTAGAATAATATAAATAAATAACACATATGTATATGTACTTCATAGGTATTTTTAATATGGTATTTAATTATAATCACTACATATTCAGGATACAATTATCATTTTCCATCTTTGGTGAAACTGTTTTAAAAGCTTAAGAGATCATCTCTCAGTAAGTGGATGCCATACACACATACACACACGTGCGCACACACACATGCACTTGCATACACATGTGGTTTTAAAAGAGGAACTTTTAATTTACAGTTTAAGAGAATATAAAAAATACAAAAATAAAGTAGCTCTTAAAATGTCGAAATTTTGGAAGGCATTGTACTTTGATGTTTGTTTATAAACCACTTCCAAATATTTGTATAGTGATAATTGGTGAGAATTATTTTCTACTTTTTTCTCCTGTATTTTGCAACTCTCTGGATACCCCTTTAAACAAAGCATGCTGCTGTAACTGCTATAAAGTTAGTAATTCCATACTACACGAATGTGGACTGAAATGTTTACTCTGGTGTTCAAGTCTAAATGCTAATACTTTCCTCCAATGCAGATTGAATAATGTATATATTCTTTACAGTGCAGCCTCACATAATACAGCTTAAAAATGAGACGACACATGAGAACGGTCAAGTCACACTCGTGTGTGAAGCAGAAGGAGAGCCTCTTCCAGAAATCACTTGGAAAAGAGCAATGGACGGCATCACATTTTCCGAAGGTGATAAGGTAACAACAACTCAATATATAGTGTTTTTCAATATTGTTGTATTTTCAGTGTTCTGAATATTATTAAATTTCACATTGGACTCTAATCCACCAAGTAACTTTTAGGAAGAAAATAAACAATTCATTTCTTTTTTTAAAAAAGGTATAACTACCAGAGTCAGCCTAAAAATAATTTGAGAGGAGAAAAAACTCAAAGTATAATATTTAAAGATGTGTTTCATTAAGCCACAAAATCTTAGGTTGTTGGTATTCTTCAGTTTCCCTATGTTGACTTTTGCTATACATTGAATCAATAAAATGTCTTATTGCAATTTTAATTCCCCCACTTGTGCTGTGGAAATGGAAGTTATTATAAACAAAAGTCTGGCTGTCTTTTAACTCTACTCTTTAGAATTGTCTTTGTGCTATAGAAGAGTGGGTATCCGCTTTTAAACACTTTACAATCTAATAAGAGAAATAAGTACAAACACAACAAAATACAATAGATGGAGATTCCACTCCCATGTAAATCGGGTGACCTTTCACCGGAATGTATGCAAGTTACTTAGAAATCAATTAAACATCATCATATGTTTCACTACACTCAATGGATTTTCATAATTGTAATTTTTCATAACTATTCATATAAAAGTTCAAGTATAGACAAAAGTAAAACAAAGAAAAAGGCAATGAATGAATGATATGATAGGCTGGCATTTTCACACATGTAAAGATTGTAAGATTACGATTATAGATCACTTTTCGCATTGTTAAAGACAAACTTCCTTTATACCTCTTTCATTAATTTAAATTGATTTCTGCAATATAAGTAACTTTGACTTACCAATATTGATAGCACAAAAATTGAAATCAGTTCATCCAAACTACACTTTCTATCCCTTCAACTCATGTCATTTTAAACAACATGCTAACTCCACAGATTGACAACAGAGGCTGCTCCCTGTCCATTTACTAATTATCTTCTAAAAGAATATATTCCCATATGCGTCACCATCCTTTGAATCATTTCCTCCTCATGATGTCATTTTTAAGAGAGTATATCTCTTTTAGTAATAAACTATTTTTTATATACTTATTTTATACTGGGGGTGCCAAAAAATATATACTCATGACTTATATTCATCTTTTGTTATTGGTATATATTGAGTACTACAATTTTAACACAGCTTTTCCTTTCTTAAAATGTGTGTACATTTTTTGGCACCCTGTGTATAGGCAAGCTGAAAATCAAATTTATAAAATATGAATGATATTTATAGTTTTCTGACTAGCCAGAGAAACAATACCATTCCCTTTAATATTTTCATAACAGAAAATCATAGATATTACTATGGTGCAGATGTGAAATCTTAAAGGAGTTATAGATCTTTAAAAATGTTTAAAATTGTCAGAAAGCAATTAGATATATAAATCTGTAGGTAATTGCTTTCATGTTGATTTAGTACATTTCTTTAGATGAGATTACTTGAGTAATGATTTTCATGTCTTATTAATTGTGCCATCATATTTTTAACTTATTCTTTTCATTGTTTTCCTGTGTACTGTAAAATTCCTAAAAGTTCTTCTCTCAAAGATAGCCTTTACTCTTTATTTAATAGATTGCCTTTATGTAATTACCAAGAATAAGAGAGACATTTTATTTAGTTATTTGTGTCTATTCAAAGTTATCGAGTAACTGAGAGTATGATATATTATTCTACACTCTGAGCCCCAGGCCACCCAAAGCTACATACAGCAATTACTTCTATAGTAGTTTTGAGAAATAATGAACTAGATTATGTTTGCTAAGGACTATATCTATTAAATTAGACCTTTTATTTTTAATTTGGTTTATTTGTTACAAAACAATTATAGAAACCAAAATATGCTTTTATTTTTCCAAACAACTTTTATCCAGTGGATAAAGAAATTAAGACTACTGCATTCACTTTCTATCATGATATTTCTCCAAAATTATTTTAAGATCCCGACTTTATTTTTTGGATGGTCGGCCTCTTTTCTCTTAACATTCCTCATTTCTTCAACAACCGAAATTCAGTAATTGAATGGTTGCAGTGAGCTTTAAAGGGAGACAAACCTACTTTTAAATGTCAGCCCTGCCATTTATGATGCTTCAGCTTTGGCAATATTATTTGAACTATTTTTAGATGAGTTATTCATATTTAAAATGTGGATAATACTTATATCCTTTATTGATATAAAAAATCTGAGGAATACATTGTAAAATGCAATTCAACATCATTAGCATGTTCAAAATATTCAATAAACTTTATTTTTTTTTACTTTGTCATATTTCATAATTTTTGAGTCATAGTTTATCAATTCTAGTCTTGGTCTGAGTTACATCAATTCAAAACTTTGTAATTAAAAATAATAGGACTTTGTGCTCTTTACATTCATTTGAATAAAACATGTCTTTGTGTATCAAAGATAACAACCTTACTGATTCAAATTTAACTTTAGTGCTTTACATCCATTTTGCTTTCTGTCTGTTCAAATTAATAGATGTATTTAAGTTGAAATTTAAGATAAAAAAATTAATACAAAGCATGAATACTCTACATTAACATTTTGTTTTTCACTTCCGTACAGAAATCATATTGTAACAAAATATTCCTTTTTATTTTAGTTGTGTAGAAATGGTAAGCATTTTTCTCCATAAATTTTAAGTACTGAGATCTGGACAATATTTACTTAAAATGTTCTTCCAAACTAATTCCAAAGGAATTACTGCTAAAATAATGATAGACAGTTCTTTCATACAAATACCTGAATAAAATTACCTGTATAACAATTTAAATATATCAGGATATAAATGTTTATTATTACACTACTGCATTCATTATTATATTACTGTTTATCCTCTAGGGTATTATTTTTTATTGTGCATGTATAGCCCTGGACCTAAGGAAACTTATTATTTTAAAAATTATTTACTGAAAACACTTTTAATGAAAATCAGGAGATAATGAAGTAAATTTTTCACATCACATGAAAATCTCCATTGAAAATTCTTAGGATTTATATACATAATATGAAGATTACATTAAAGTATTTTTACTTCTTTCATCTTTAATCCTAAAGCAAATATGACTTCTTCAAAGATAAACTTCATAAAATGCAAATCAGCAAAATAATCTTTAAGGTGATAGAATTTTATGTGACCAACATTCCTTTTATCACTTGCCAAAGTTCATTTAATAGATATCAACAGATATTACTGAGGACTCTTATGTTTGCATGTACTATTCTAGGCTCAAAGAATGCAGCAGTGATAAAAATGAGTTTCCTGCTTCATGGTGCATATAGTTTAGGAGGGGAGATGGAATCAAAGCCTATTTTAAATCTTCAATCTTTTCTTTATGAAAATGAAATTTTGAGATATGCAATTTTCATATTGAAAATATCAATTTTGAGTATGTATGTGAACTTTTACAAGACTACAAGTATAGTTTGGCATATTTCTACACTGTCACAGACCCAGTTCAACTTGCTCCTCTGAGGTTCCTCTGTGTGGGTGTATGGCTTCTCTCATCAGAATTTCTCCTCAGTTTGCGCTAGGCTGATGGAAATTGCTTAGATTCTGATTTAAAAAATGTACGTAATGGCATAATGGCAGCACCTTTATATTTTAAATGAATATATAAGATTTTCAACTTCCTTTTCTTTCTTAAATAAAAATTACCAAATGAGGTCAATAATTCCACAATTATCGACTTCATAAAGAGATACTATAGAGTTTCAGCTATCTGCACTTTATTATAAAAGTTCCAGTGAAATGAAAAGTAAAATACAGTGACATATTTATAGCATTGTTTTTAAGAATGAAGGACAGTATATAAGTATTTTTATATAGCTTTATAAGTAGTTAGACTTCTGGGCAAACTTTTTACAGCTGCATTTTTATTATTTTTATGAGGACTTTTATTTGTACCTCTTTACCAAACCTTGATGTGTGTTCCGGGATTCAATTATGGGGAATCCTTAGTGCCTTATTCTAAGACTGATACACACACACACACACACACACACACACACACACAACACACACACACACACACACACCAGAAGTCAAGGTGAGAACTATAATGTAAATAACAAATAAAATTTGTAAAATGTTTTAGTAAATAATTTAATGCTATGTTCAAATATTTTAAAGACAATCATATCTATAGTTGAACTAGACATATTGCTCACTATAGGTAATAGAATGACAAAAGAGTGGAAGTTACAAAAATGTATAGACTTTCCAAGAATCGGGGGTTATAGATAATAGAATGTATTACATTGCAAATGAGAGAATTTTGAGTCCCTTGAATTTCTCTAGCATAATTTACAAGATTTTAAGTGTCTAGGAAAATCCTTTCATTTGATGTGATGTTGCTAATAGAGGATATTGAACAATCTTTCTTACCATGAGATTCTGCCTCTCTATGGATTAAAATGTCTGAGTTACTATACAACAGAAAAATCTTCAGAAATACTTCTCGTGTATATGCCCTGTAGAGATCCTCTTCTTTGAAATTACTATGTCTTTCATCACAGACAAATCTACACACTTAGCATGCATGAAATATGTATTTAGAAAACTTAAAAATGATCTTGATTATCTATCCTATACAGCTATACAAAGAGTAAGACATATAAAAGGAGTCCATTTGTATAACCCATGGATTTCTAATCAGGCTATCTTTGTTATTCCTAGTTCATAAAAATAGAGTTTAGTGGAATAGTATTATGTGGTAGCTTTAAACAATGATTTTTTTTTGTTTCAATTCCTAGATTGCCATTTGACTGCTCCCTGATAACAGGTTAATTGCCATGTTTTTCAGAGATAAAGTTCTGTTGTTTATAAAAATAGTCCCCATCAAGCTTTAATATTTCCTTATTGAATAAATCTATTGATTCAGTAGATAGTCATACATTTTAAAATATAGTTTTTATTCTGATGCCAAGCCCTTTTTCAATTCAGATATTTACTAATTTTTTTCAGTTCATGA